TGAAAATTTCTGATATTCGCATTTCGTTTTACCTGAAAATTTCTGATATTAGTAGTTCGTTTTTACGTAACAAATATCTGAAAATTTCTGATAAATCGCATTTCGTTTTGTCTGAAAATTCCCGATAGTAGCTTTTCGTTTCTCTGATATTTTCGCATACATAGCTGAAATTTCTGAAGTTAGTATTTCGTTCTCTAGGCATATTGGGATAACGATAGAAGTGGTCATATTCTCGGAAACTGGAATTATTCTTTTCTGAAAATCGAATCTCCATTCTATCTCGCAAATTTTTTTTGAAAACCGAAATCTTGCGAAGCCTACCAATATTGCGTTAGGCATATTCGGAGGTTGCTATATTCTCAGAAACTGGATTTCGTTCTTTTCTGAAAATCGCATCTTTACTCCATTTCGCAATTTTTTTTTTTTCAAGATCGCAGTTTGTAAAAGCCGAAACTTTGCGGAACCTAGCCTAGATCTCGTTCATAGTACTCTTCTGACATGTCCTACTCAGAATAGATCGACAGATATACAAAAAAAAAAAAAAAAAAACAAAGGAAGTAGTCCTCTTTTATTTTTTATTTTATTTTATCTCTTGATTAGGGCCTGAGGGAAGTATTGTTGGGTTGTTTGCCTACCTACGTTTTCCCTCCCACCCACCCCTTTGCATGCATTTCCGGGTTGGTACAGTGACACGTCAGACTGCCACGTAAGCAGTGCCACGTCAGCAGTGCCATGTCAGACACAGTGCCACGTAAGCAGTGCCACGTCAGCAGTGCCACGTCAGACAGTGCCATGTAAGCAGTGCCACATCAGCAGTGCCATGTCAGACACAGTGCCACGTAAGCAGTGCCACGTCAGCAGTGCCATGTCAGACAGTGCCACGTAAGGAGTGCCACATCAGCAGTGCCACGTCAGACACAGTGCCACGTAAGCAGTGCCACATCAGCAGTGCCACGTAAGCAGTGCCACATCAGCAGTGCCACATCAGACACAGTGCCACGTCAGACACAGTGCCACGTCAGCAGTGCCACGTCAGCAACATGACGGGCCTGCCAGGCCAACTGGCCAATGAGCCCATTGCCGACTACAAAAAGCGCTTCCAGGCTCAGCTCGTTGCAATCGAGGCTGAGGAACAACGCCAGCTGGCAGCCAAGGCTGCCCAGCTACAGGCTGACAAAGCGGCAGCAGCAGAGAAGCTCCGGCTACAGGCCGAAGCAGACGCAGAGGCCCAGGCTCGCCGCAAGGAAGCCCAGGACCTGCTGCAGCGGCATGAAGCAGCCAGCGTTGACAGACTCAAATTCTGGCACTTTGAACCCAACAGCGACGACGTGACACCGGAAGAGCAGCATGAGGAGTTTCTCTCCAAACTCGTGACACGACTGTTGTACACTTGCAACTACCAACAGTCCGAGTTGGAGAAACAGTACCAGGACCTGACGC